CTATCCCACTGAATTATTCACTAAGTCACTCCTTAATTCACTCACTCAATCCTTCATTCACTAAATCACTTAATCATTCCTCCATTGACTCATCTACTAACTCACTAACTTCTCCATTTACTTACTCTCTTAATCTCTCACTCACTCACTCACACTCCCACTAACATAACGAACGAAATTTTAGCGCCCTTTCATCAGAATCAAAGAGAATGTTTCGAAACCGGCTTCAACGAGGATGTTTCAGCGAAACCATTCTCAAGTGGTCAAGAGAACTCTGACGCCGCCTTCACCAAATTTTTTCATTCGAAATGGAAGGGAGTTTAACATTATTTAAATTAGGGAAATACGAAAAACAAGCATTCGGATTTGATAAAAAAAAACTCGACTCTAGCCCAGGCAACCCAGTGCAATTCCTGTGAAGGGAAGTTACCGTGTTTTGTGATTCCGTTTGCAGCTGAAGTGATCGACACCCAGCAGTCAGGACACACAACCGTCTCGTGGAGAAGACAGGCTTCACCGCCGCGCAACGCCATCAAGCGTCCACACACAGCACCGACCGACAGACATGTACCTTGTGAGTCAGTCCGACGGGGTGCTGAGTCCCAGGTTGCCATCGGCAACGCCGTAGGCAAGTGAGCCGGCCCGGCGGAGGCTTGGCAGATATGCTCGGTGTAGACGTAACGGCCACGATGAGGCGGCGCAACTCCGCGTCGAGCCTGCAGGCGCCATTGGCCGAGCAGGTTGAAGTAGCAGACCGGACAGACGGGAAATCCGGGAAGTGTGGTGCTCTGGGGACGCAGTCTTTGCAGACAGTGAAAGAGGAAAGTCGGATAAATCAAAGATCTTAAGGCCAAAATAGTGGCAGTCTCCTATAGCAACATAAAACTGGTTTGCTCTCGTCTTCTGCCCGAGTATTCATAATAATGTGGAATTGGTACATTACCAGACGTTATACCGTTTTTTTGGCAAGTTGAAAATGGATGCTAAGAATGTAGAAACTCCGTTATGATGCCGAATACGATACCGGCGAAACGTCCGCAAATGAACCAAGTCGGTGGTCTGGCGCTGGAAGTTAGAATGACAACTCGGGTGAAAGACTTCGTATTAGTTTTGTCCATCCAGGTTGTCCTGACAAGACGGCCAGATCGTGAAAACAAGGCCAAACCAATTCTGTACTCTGATACAGTTGCCAGAATCCGAGGCAAATCTGTACTTACAACAGTCGCGCATGGCTTCAATGCTGCCACGTTGTCACCCAGTGAAGTCTCAAAACGAGAGAATGACTACCAAGAATCAGTTACAAAGCAATACAAACCGATACGGAGCTTAAATGTAGACTTGCCGATCAAAATAGTGTGGCTACTATTTGCGGTACAGTCTCCTTCAGGAGTATACAATTTTTCCAACATCGGGCAGTCAACTTCGTGATAGAAGTAGGGCAACCTCAAAGAAAGTACCAAGTAACAGCATTCATTGCAATTTCCAGCATCGACATGGGCTCATTCCACGGTGAAAATGCATGGAAATGAAAGATGTGCGAGGCTGACGACGTGAACAAGAGAAAAGAGAGAAGATGCTGAAGGATATTTGCGTAGTGCTTAAAAAATGCAGAAGAAATTAGATACAGAAGATACCAATGAAAACAGGAAGCCTTAATTAAGGAAATTTGTTGAGCCAAAAGAAAACCGATCGCAAGAAAAGGGCACACGAGATAACATCAAAAATTAGGAAAGTACAGTTCCGATGACTACATTCAGCAAAAATTAGGTTTTGGCGCTCAAAGGAACAGCCAAGAGAATAGGAAAGTCATAAGCATCGAATAAATCAGACTGCGAATTCGAGGCCAATTCTACAAGAAATCCACCAGAAATGTAAGTTTTCAAATGGTCTAAAGTGTACGGATTGACTAATTTAATTGGACCTTGAAACTTAGCAACTCAGTATAGACGCCGAGTTGAAATAAGAACTATGCTGGCCTATAGAATTAATGAGATGTATTCACCCAATTTCGTGTAAGGTGATGAAGGACTGGTAGTAGAATTTGCCCACAATGATATGAGTTGAACTGACGTTTCCATTGAATTTCACATTGCCTTGCTTTCCCAAAAGTTGTTCTCATCCAGGCACCATTCGACTGCAGTTTCGACCGCGCATCAACTGGTCTCATCAACACCCTCAGCGGGAGTCGAACAAAATAATATGATATAGCAAAGAGGCCTGACCTTGAAATTCACTTATGCCCTGTGACTCGAGGGTACTCGTGGCAGTGTAGCCGAGTGGTTAGCGTGTCA